TGTCTGTCTGTCTGTCTGTCTGTCTGTCTGTCTGTCTGTCTGTCTGTATACACACATAAATATATCAATGAGTATATTGGTATGTTCTTTGAAGCATTTCATCTAATCAAAAGGTCATTCTAGGTTTTTATCAATTTATTGTACATTTACTGAAATTATGTGATTGACAAAAGCTTAGCGCTGATAACCAAATAGATAAAAACAAATAGGGCCTATTTTTGTACCTGTCAGTATGATATTTTGTATGTGAATTGTTTTATTTAATGAAGTATTGGACAATTTAATTTATTTTTATATTGTCAACAGTTTCTATTTGAAAACAGTTTATTTTATGTCATGGGGGAACTATTGTTTCATAAAGGCACATATATGTACAAATAATTTAGACCTCGTTTTAATTGCTGTGCAAAGCAGTTAGAATAAGGGCAACTGCTAAAAGTTATGTAATTCTCTCTGCTTTATTTATATTTGTCTTTGTTTTTGAAGGTCCATGTTCAACTGTATTTTATTTTGACACCTACTAAGTTGTTTCTCATTTCAGGACAAAATCATTCAATTCATTAAAAGAAAAAAAAACATTTCTCTTGACTCGTTGCAAATTAAATTTAATCACTATTTTATAGTTGAATCAGTCCTTATGACTGATCTTGTTATGCCAATGTGTGTGCCATGAGTGGCAAGAACTTAAGATATTTACAAGTATGAAAATACAGGTATAAAATCATTGTGGAAAAACAAATAATAAATTAATTGTTATTATAAAAACTGATTGTTGCTTTTTTTGTTAGTTTGTTTTTTAGATAACTAAAATGTTCCTTAATTTGCTATGGGTTTCAAAGGGCTGGAGCTTTTCCACACTAAAAAAAATAACTCAGAAGATTTACTTAAAAAATATATTGTAAGTATTTGCACGCAAATGATTTAAGTAAAATGTTATGCTGCAATATCAATTAACACTCATTTGCCAGTATCAAGTAAATTTTACGTTCAATAAAACAAACATTTACTTAATTACATCCACGTTGTAATTTATAGTTATTTTAACAAATTAAGTAAAGTCTACATGTTTTTCATAGGCAGAACCATAATTTTCCTTTTTTTTTATTACTTTTTTATGTCAGTAGTATTTGCTGTTAGGAAGTAATGTAGTATATATTCATTATTTTTCGTGTGCTTGACATTGTAATTTACATGTTTGCATTATGTTTCATCACTCACTAAAATTAGGCAATCATTGCCATGTTTCTTTTGATAAATGTTTCTAAATAAATGTAACCAATACTCTATGGATTTAATAGACATTCATCACATAACAAATAATTCAATTGCAATGCATTTAAACTGTTTATTTGCAGTTCATCAAACAAGCAGGCAGCCATAAATGTAAAATTGGCATGTCTGACATAAAAACATACAGACAGTATCAAACTGAAACATGTTGAAGCTTGACAACAGAAAGGATGTTATGACTGGCAAACAACAAATACACAGTATCCACATTATACACCACATCCAACATAGATCTGGTAACATAGTCACTTCTCAAATATGCTATTCTTACAAACCTACACACTGAAACAGTGCTATTTCAACATTCAAACCAGTCTAGACTAGTGTGCATTTAAAAATTAAATTAAAACATTAATGAAATAATAGGCTCCATTTCCCCCCGCGACCCCATCAGGGAATAAGCGGTATTGATAATGGATGGATGGATGGATGAAATAAAATCAAAAGAATCAATTAAAAATTAACAGCTTAACGAGCCTAACCATTTTAAATTTAATCTTTACTGTAATTAACAGATACCTTATTTGACAAAAAATGAAAAACATTTATGACAGGCAACCTCCCACTAGTAAACTAAGATGAACTGGAACAACATGCAAATTCATGGCATTTTTTCACAAAGGTCCATGCATGATGCAACGCATTTCCCCTTTAGGATTACAAAGTCATGATATGCATTTTATTTATTTAGGACAGCAACTTCAACTTTAAGGTGTTTACTTTTGGGGACAGTGTAAATCCATCCAGGTTCAGCAAATGTTTTTGGAAGATTTTAAAAGTGTAGGACAAAGTAGGAGGGTGTGTCAAGTTTAGGGCATAAATCAGTCCCATGAGAAGTGTGCACAACAATATTTTGGGCATGTGCTGACTAATATAGCTGCGTCTGTCCTCCTTCATACAATGCACAACAAAAAAAAATTGTTATTGAAAAACAAATGATAGAACTGCATTAATCATTCAAATTGACTTCATTATCAGGGAAGAATGAACACAATAATATTTTTGTTACTTTGTCTGCTTTCCTCTTAACTTGAACATTAAATTATTTTTAGATGATTAAAATCTTGTTATACCAAGCAGTCTTCAAAAAGGTTGTCCTCCTTTTCGCCAAGGTACAGTATAAGGCTGCGGATAACAGTTTCACACCTTGTGTCTATGCTCTGTTTCTGTGAACAGATAAAGAACATGAACATGAACAATTTTCATAGACAACAAACTGTCAAATGAAAACACAAATGCAAATGTTTGCTCTTGAGTTTTAAGTACATAGACCTAGTGTGTGCGAGTGCAGTGTGAGTCTTGTGGTGTATATGTGTCTATGTGTCTGAGTGAGTAAAAACGTTGGCCCTTCTTCCCGTAAACAACACCTGACTCAGTTTGTCCAGTAGCAGCCTCATCTTGATCCCTGCGACACCTCCCTTAGCTTTCATCAGCGTAACAAGTTTTGGTGTGTATTCTTGCATGGAATACACACCAGTTTTTGCATGGAGGTTTGCTCCAAGGGAATGGTAGTTATTCTCGTGAATTCTTCCTAGATCTGAATGGAAAAAAAGATTCACAAGTACATCAATATTTTTATATAAATGTACATTTTCAAAAATATAATTAGTTTGATCATTAAAAAAAAATACTAATTGAATATTGTTACAACTTTAAGAGCAAGCACAAGGCGACAAAGGCAAGGAACAACTGCCTTAAGAGGCAGAAACCTCAAGCAGAACCATAGCTCAGGGTGGGCGGCCATCTGCCTCAACCAGTTGTAGGTAAGAAAGAGAGAGAGAGGGCAAGAGAGGGAGAAGGAGAGAAGGACAAAGATAGCAGGGGGAGGCAGCCTACAAAGTAACACATAGACTGGATGAAAAATGGTACAGATATTGATAGTAATGTTAAAGATAATGACAGCAGTAATAATAGCAACATAACTAGTAGTTGTTACTGTAGCAGAGAAGGAACACAGGGGGCCACTGGAGACTCCCAACTACAGATCCAGACTCCACAGCTCCAGCTCCAGGAACACCTGCGGGAAGTGATGGGAGGAGAGAGGAGAGGGACGAGAAAGCAAACGACTACGGGAAAGGGGAAAAGTCCAGGTAGTAAAATGCATTAATGGAATGAAGCTGCACAGCAGTGTTGGAAGCCAGGGCAATGCCATGCTGGGAAACTGTAGATTACGTCACAGAGGTGCTTAGGCCCTAGAACAATTACTTCAGTTTTAAAATTGGAAAATGTCAGGTCATCCAGGTTTTAACATCCTGAAGAGACATTTCAAGCTTAGCTAACTGATGAGTTTCATCTGGATTGATCGATAAATATAACTGGGTATCATCTACAATGAAAGTTTATGGAGTGTTTCCTGATAATATTAACTAGAGGAATCATATATAATGTAAAGAGGATCGGTCCGAGCACAGATCCTTGTGGACACTCAATAACTAACTTTGGCATGCATGGAGGACTCATTGTTAATATGCACAAACTGAAACTATTCTGATAAATAGGACCTAAACCCGCTTAGAGCAGTTCCAGTCTTTGTAATAGTATCTGATGGTCAATGGTGTCAAAAGCAGCACTAAGATTTAATATAACCAACACGGAGATAAGTCCTTTGTCTGATGCAGTTAGAGGTCTGTGGAGGGGGCGTGGCGCTCAGCTGCAGGGGGAGGGGTGGAGAAGG